GCAGGGAGCCCGATGCGGGACTCGATCCCGGGACTCCAGGATCATGACCTGAGCCGAAGGCAGTTGCTTAACCAACTGAGCCACCCAGGCGCCCCAGATTTATTTATTTTAGAGAGAGAGCACAAGGGGGCGGTGGGGGGGACAGAGGGCCAGGGAGAGAGAGAATCCCAAACCGACTCCCTGCTGAGTGCGGAGCCCAATCCAGGGCTCGATTTCACAACCCTGAGAAGATCATGACCTGAGTTGAAATCAAGTGTTGGAGGCTTAACCAACTGAGCCACACAGGTGCCCCCCAAATATAACATTTTTTGATGGATGTTGGTGTTTAAACTACATGGTGATGTTTGTTAAACCACTTTGTTTACTCTTCCATTGGATAGATTTAAAGTAATTTAACAATTTTAAAATGTCAGCATTGCAAAATGTCAGTAATTGCACTTTTTGCAACTACATACACGCATGATGAAAATTTTTAGAGTCAACTACTTACAATGTTTGAGAAAATAGTTTTTCAAAGTTCTTTCCAAGGGCACAGTTTATTATTTTTTTTTAAGATTTTATTTATTTATTTGACAGACAGAGAGAGAGATCACAAGTAGGCAGAGCGGCAGGCAGAGGGAGAGGGAGAAGCAGGCTCCCTGCTGAGCACACAGCCCAATGTGGGGCTGGATCCCAGGACCCTGGGATCATATCCGAGCCGAAGGCAGATGCTTAACCATCTGAGCCACCTAGGCGTCCCCCAAGGGCACAGTTCAAAAAATTGAGGACTATTTCTGTATATGACCTGGCCCCCTTAATTTTCTTATCCTCATGTTCTACTACTCTCTCCCATGTTCAAACCACTCAAGCCCCACTGACTCCTTGCTGTTCCTCTAACAAGCCAAGAATCCCTGTCTGCCTCAGATCATGTGTACTTACTGTTTGTTCCTCTGCCTGGAACACTCTTCTGCAAGAACCACAATTATTGTTCATCTATCAACAGAGGCCTTCCTCAGTCATCTCTGATCTCTTTTATTCTTATTTTGTTTTCATAGCATTTATCACTCCCTGGCATATATTTATTATCAATCAATTTACTGTCAATCTCCGTTAGATTGCAAACTCCTTGAAGGCACAGATCTCCTTTCCTTTCTGCTGTAATTTCTAAAACGCTCCCTAATTTCTTATAGTAAGAGGTCGGTATTTTTGAGCGAATAAATGAAAAAATGTTTCGAAGTGGCTTATTTTAAGGACTGGTACAAGCTCAAAGAATAACAGTTCTTGGGAACACTGTCAGAAGACGAAAGCACTTCATGATCCTAATATTAAAACAGCCGCTGCACTACATAAACATCCCGAGTACTTGTTTTCAAATACAGACAAACCTTCCTGAAAGCTTCTATTACCGGTATTATTAGGGCATTTGGAACCCAACTCACGCCAGGACACTAGGTGGGACTCTCAGGACATAATATTGGGTAGATCCGTGGCTCCTCAAACTGACGCACATCGGAATCCGCTGAAGCGACTTTTCAACATTCATCTGCCCCCCCCTCCCCACTTCCTGATGCAGGTCTGGGGTGTGGCTCTTACATCTCTGCTTTGAAAAAGCTCCTCAGCTGGTTTTCTGATACGTAACAAACGTCTGAGAATCAATCACCTTAAGAAGCTAAAAATAGCTGTTAAAGAGTTTCTTCCTCACGGGATCTTTTCAGCCTATTTCTGGCAGGCCTCCAAAAAGAGAGAGAAAAAGGCCCCGTTTCATGGCTCCCCTGAGACACAACCACCCAAAGGAACGCAGCCGGTTAAGGCACCGAGCCCCAGGAGGTCCGCACCTCGGAGCCAGCAGGCTACGGCGTCCAACCCTGCGGCAAGTGAGGTTCGCGCCGAGACGCGCCAGCCTCTGGGGACGGCGCCGCCCGGGAGACGCTGGCTCGGAAGGGACCGGTTCCGGCCTCCTATACTTTCCCGCTTTCTTCCCGCACCACCGCTGTGTCCGAGCTCATAACCACTGCCGGCTAAAAGCTGCTCAACGTCAACGGCCCCTGGCTTCAAACGCTCCCAGCGAGCCGAGCAGCTGCGGCGTGGACGCAGCACGGCGGTGCCGGAGTTCGGGGCGCGGGGGTGGGGACGAGTCCCCGCCCGCTCCCCAAGTTCCCGCCTCCCTAAGGAGGACGTCCGTGCGTACGTGCGCGCCACGCGCCCGCCCTCCTTCAGCCGCGCGACGCGAGGGCGGGGGCGCCGCGTGCGCGCGCGCTCTCGTTCGTTCGCTTGCCTGCTCGCTCTCGGCTGCCGCTCTCGCTGCGGCTGCGGC